TTTTTTTTTTTTTTTTTTTTTTTTTTTTACGTAAAAGTTGGCTAACTAGGTCAGGTAGAATTGTTCTTTTTTTATTTTTTTTTTTATTATTTCTCCCTAACCACATTGCACTTTTGGCTAGCTAAGTCATTTGCTATTTTATATTATATTATTTTTTTTTTTTTTTCCTAGCCACATTGTCTATTTGCCTAGCTCAGTGATATAATGTTTTTCCTTTTTGCACACACCTTAAAGAGGAGTTCTGCACATTTGTCTTTCAACCCCTAAGAACAACCAATTTGAATGTGTCTGTCCAACCGATTAATTAATGTTCATTTTGTTCTCCCCAATTTTGCAAGGTAAACAGGGCTGATAGATACATGTGGATGAGTTTATGCGTATCAGTCTAACTCTGTTACGCTGAAATTGTTCCTTCGAGAGTTCGTAGTCAGTCGTTCCAATTTTTGCACACCTTTTTAGTGTACACGTCTTTTTTTGCACGCGTGGGTTTAGTCCCTTAAGAAATCGCTTCACCTTTTAAATTACATTTTTCCCCTGTTAAGGGGTTAACCTCCTCGTTTTCAAACAATTCGAAATGCGCAAAGGGGTAAAGTACCAATTGGCCCGTTGCTGACGATATACACATTTGTTTGTGTGCACAACGTCCACATAACCGTTTCATCCTCAGTAAAAAATGGCCTTTCAAAGGGGTGCATTAATATTGGCCATATACTTAGCGGTAGTGGCGAACGTGCTTTACGACTTCTTAACCCACAGTGTATGCAGGAAAGGCCCAAGAGCGAGACCCCACGTTTGTGCCTCAGGTGTGAAGGAGGGGGGACCGGGCACGAACAAAAGATTGTCAAGAAAAAACAGTGACATTCTTCATTTTTTGCAGCAAAAGCAGGTACTACATAGTGGGGCATTAAAAGGAGGAGGGAGAAAAATACATCTGGGAAAACGTTCCACCGGTGGGGAAAGCACAAATAGGTTTCGTAGCATCAACTTCCATGAGGTGCAACATGGTGGTAGTGCCCCCACATCTCATGTGGACGATTGTGAGAGCACTCCTGCGGGATGCAGAAACAGTAGGGTGAGAAACTTCGTCCATCTAATGAAGGGCATTGGGGAGATAAACACGGTGAAGAAAGAGGATAACATGATAAGTGAAGAAAATATCTACAACGATCAACACCATACAGTGGTTGTATATGATGGAATGGACGAGGAAAAGGATTTATATAATAAGTATAAAGAAGAGAGAGAAGATGGTATGTCTACAGTGGTTATACAAGGAACAGAGTACCTAGGGGTGGGTTACGATTTCATTTTTGGAAACCCAATTGGTGACCCCTTCTTGAAGGTAGATCCTGGGTACCGTGATTCTATCATAAAACTGACTTACCCCAAATCAGATGTAGATTATCCAGACACTTACGTGAATATAAACCCAAATGGGTCGTATGTGAGAAATGAAATTTCGTGTAATAGGTCAGAAAATGAAAGCGAAATAAGTACAATGAGTGAGTACACAAAGGAGCTCTCCGTTGATGCATCTGTAGGAGCCTCCTATGGGTTCTTCGGGTCCTTCTCCGCATCTACAGGGTATAAGAGTGTTTCAAATACAATATCGAAGAAGAAATTTCGGCTGTTTATGTTGAAAAGCTATTGCTTTAAGTACATGGCGTCCTTGTCCCAGTACTCGCAGTGGAAGCTAAGTGATCAGTTCGTAAGAGCCATTTCGTTACTACCGTCCTACTTCAATTCGCTACAGTATGACGGGACTTACTGCACCGTAGAAGAGTTCCGAGATAATCGAAAAACGGAAAAGTGTGGCCGCAGTGTAGAGTCCTGGATGTATTTTTTTAAAAATTTCGGAACCCATGTTTCAACCCTCATCCATTTAGGGGGAAAAATAACACAGCAATTGAAAATATCAAAAAATGAATATAAGGCGTTGAGTGAAAATGGGCTATCGGTATCTGTGAGTGGGTCAGCTGGGTTTGGCCTATTCAAGGCTAAGGCCTCAACAAGCACCAACTCGAACGAGGCAAGTAATGAACAGAGCACAAACTCGAGTATAGAAAAAGAAACCGTTATCATAGGGGGGACTACGATATATGACCCGAATGATCCCAAAAATTTTGAAAAATGGGCAAAGAGTATAAAAGACAATCCGATGCCCATAAAGGGAGAGTATGAACCTTTGTCTAGAATTCTACCCATTAGATTAACCAAGGTGTACGAGGAAGCACTACAGTTTTACATCTCCGCGAATGTCCCGCTGAACCTTGGGCAGATAACAAATGATGAGATGAAGAGGTACAACGTGAAGGACCAACTAATGAAAGCGACCAAGGTGTATGCAAGTGGAACTGGGCTGGTAGTCCTCGAATGTGAGGAGAAGAAAAATTTTATCCTAGGCTTTTCCCTATCCGTCCCTAACGACTTAACTGTGTTGAAAGACTTTTATATGAATACGTGTGATGAGGATGCGGACAAATGTTACTCCAAGATGAGCGACAATGCGTACAATTACCTTTTCGCCATGTGCAATGAAGAAATGATTCCTTTCCTTGAGCAGAAGGTAAGGTCAGGCACTGGTTTACTAACCCTCGAGTGCTCCGAAAAAAATCAAGTCATTCTATTTGGCTTTGGAATAAGTGTGCTAAATTCGAATGACCCTATATCCATTGCTATATATCCGTGCAAGCATGGGAAGGCATCTTGCTCCATGCAAGGGCCAACAGACCAGTCGGCTGTCGGGTTGTGGGTGGTGTGCGGCCACGAGGAGTCCCAAAATTCCAAGTTCTCCATGAACGTGCGCAAAATGGTAAAGGAAAACGTGTCCGGGAAGAAGAAGAAACACATAGACATATGTCCTGAACAGGTTTTGTTCAACCTCATTTTTGAGTTTACGCGGACTCCCCTGAACAAGCGCAAGGGCTCGTGCTTCACAGTCAATGACGTATGCCCCAAGGACTTTAACGTCTGCTCGGATAAGAAGAACATGAAGGGGTTTAACTACTACTCGGTGTCGGTTTATTAGGTGTTCATGTGTGGCACAGCCACTCATACGACCCATTTTCCATGACGTTTTTTCCCCTTTCCTTGTATGAGTCGTAGTGGCCTATAACTAAATGCAGACACACCTCTCCTTCGTCGTTCTTAGTGGCATTGCAGAGGTGCTGTTCCTCATTTGCTTCTGTCCGGTAGTACGTTTTTTTTTTTCTTTTTATTATTTTTTTTGCAAACATTTGGAAAAAATTACGCCAAAATGGGGAGGCCAAGAGGATGCTAAAACAGGCAGAGCTAATTGTGCGATTGGACCATCATGTCCCCCTTCCTCCATGCTTAAAAAAAAAAAAAAAAACGCATTATAAAATAGCCCTTGGAATGATTGAATAATTATAACAATTGGGGGAAGGAAGCGCACAATTAAACATTTGAATTAATGTTGGTTAGGATACAGTGGTACTTGCATTAAGCCTATGTCCTATGCGTCTTCTCATTTTCTGCTTTGCAGTTTTACTTTCTCGCAAGTATGACAAAAAAAAAAAAAAAAAATATATATATATTCTTTTTTTTCTCTCTTTTGTGATTGCTTTTTTTCCATTAAAAAGTAACTGCGGAAAAAATTATTAAAGGGGCAGAGTAAGGCTTCACCATACAAGCGGCTCCCGCGAAGCACCAAAGCTGTTTCTCGTTGTCGCCGTTTCTTCCCCTAATTGGCGGCTTGTGAACAGGGATTTGGCGGGGGCTGCTTGGCCTCACAAACCAAGCCTGGAAGCAGCCCGCATAGAGAGGCAAAAGCTGTATGCCCAAAAAAGAAAAAAAAAAAAAAAAAAAAAAAAAAAATACAAAAAAAATGCAAAATAAATGCAAGAAAAAATGGGAAAAAAAAATGCAGAAAAGAAATCAAAATAAATATAATACAATTGCAAAAATAAATACGTAATTACAAAGGCGTAATTTGCAACAATTAATGAGCATTTTTGCCGCAAGGCGAATGTAGGTATAAAAAGTACCCCTTTTAAACAGAGGGTTCAAACCTCATAAGGAGAACTTAATAAATTCCGAGCACAAGGAGAAAAAGATACCCGAAGCGACTATATAAGGGGACCAAAAGGGAGCCAGGCAGCAACAGGGCGCGCTGACGAATCATTTACCCTTCTCCATATATCACAAATGATGTTTTCCTAAAAAGTAGGCGCCATCGCCATCATGGATCTTCATGATAAACGAAACGGGGAGAAGCACCAACTTAGTGGTGGGGCCCTGGAAGAGCATGGAAACGAAATGGTAGGAGACAAGGCAAATAAAGACAAAAGGATTTATATGAAGTACCATGAGGGGAAGGATTACAAAGAAGAGGAAAAAGAAGATCGAGGAAAAGGAGTTCCTCATAAACGGAACAGAAGACCGAGCAGAACTCCTCCTAGTATTGGCGACCATGCAGTGGACAAGGGGGAGGAATACCATTTAGTGAAAAAAAAGAAAAAGGCAAAAATTGTTAATGAATTATCATCCCGTGCGTTATCCCCTAATGGTGAAGCGAACAACCCTATGAGTTATGGTGATGACCAAGACAGCTACGATCGGGATGATCACCAAGTGGAAGGAAACAAATGGCAAAAGAACAAAGGGTATTATCACCACGTGAGTGATAACAAGACATATAATATGCGTAAGATGGCACACTACCCCTCCCACACGGATACCTCCCCTGGGGAAAAACGAAACCTTCGGAGTAGCAGCATTCCGAGCAGCATAAGTCTGAAAAAAGGAAATGCCGCACAGGAGGATGAATCAACGACCGATGAACATATCCCAAGAAATAAGGATAGCAAATTGTATGAATTAAAAAGTAAGGAGGGAGGTTCCTCCTTTATATGCCATCCTGATGGAAGTCGGAGGAGGGTGTCACCCACGAGGAGAAAAAGCTTCTCTCAATCGAGTGTGGAAATGTCCGACAGAAGTTTTACCGCAAAAGGGAAAAGAAGCTTTCAGGGTGGGAAGTATGCAAAGGAGGGGAGGGGCAGCCACCAGCAGGAGGCCAGTCATGGAAGTGATGTGAATGATAAAAGTGATACACGTGATACACGTGACAAACACGGAGGACGCAGAAGAAGTTACGACGATGCTTCGCCATATGAGCAAAAGTATCCGACGCAGGAAGCCACACGGGGGGATGGTTATGTGGTTGAGGGGAGAGGAAGACCACATGGCGCACACCTGTCCGGTGAGTCTGTACGCAGGGAGGACGAAACCTCGAGCGAGTACAGACAGGAGTCAACGTTTAGCAAAAGTGAAAGGAATAAAATGCACAAGAGGGGGAAACAACCTAGTCGGAGCAGTGGAAGCGCTAGTAGGGGAAGAAGCAGGAGTGCGGGGAGGCACTCCTACAATAGGCGAAAAAGACCTTACAGTCCACTTGCCAAGGAAGATCCACCAAACACATATAAGAAGAAATTCCAGAGCGGGAGGAAGAAGCAGGATTGGCATAAAGACGGAGGGAATTATTATCATGGGGAGGGAGAGTATGAGAAGGAACTGCCTCCGAAATGGAATCAACGTGAAGGTTCATCTCGTGGCGGAAGCGCAAAACTCAGTGACGATAGGGAAGACCCCAATGTACCAAGAAAAAAAAAAAAAGAGTATCCTCAAAATGGACAATGCAGAGGAGAAAAGTCGTTTGACCCCCACGGAGGGGAAGGAAACGAATCCCCCACTGATGGGAAGGCACACAAAGGGCATTATATTAATCATAGCCCAGAGAAGGGGCAACGAAGTGAAAAGTACAACCTGCACTCGAGGGAGTACTCAAGTAGAAAACGTGATCGAAGTGAAATGGACGATGATGATACCATATATGATAAAGGCAGGTATTATTATCCACACGGGAAAGCGTATCATGCCAGGGGGAGGAACCACATTAAGCGATTGAACAAATATAGGGGAGATACCGATGAGGAAGAAAAAGAGGTGGAATTCAAGCCGCGCTCCGATCAGCGTATTAATCACCATCAGTTCGAAACAGACTATCATGGAGGAGGAGACAAACACAACGAGACGAATCCCCATAGAGATAGAAGCTGTGACAACAGTGGTGATGTTGGAAGTGACATATCCGTGAACGAATTAAATATGGGAAGGATGAAGGAAAAAAAAATTCTTGAGTTTGTTCAAATAGATGGTTGTGTGGAGATAGAGTTATTGTCCGATGCTGATTTTACCAATTGGCTGAGCGACGATTGTGGCGTCTCAGAAGAAGAGGGGGTAGAGCCAGATGCGGCCGACTTGACCGAAGGAGGCCATGTGAAAGGAGACCCCGTCCATATCAAATTTAGGAATTCCCACTTGCGGAAGTTTGTTTTGTGTAGCGGCCAGTTTCGCATGGGGAAGTTGCCTCCCCCAAATGAGTGGAGCCATCCCTCCACGCAAAAAAGGAGCATGAGCATCTGCTCCTCGGATGGCAACACGTATAGTAATAATAAGTATGCACCCACCACTCGTACTGCTAATTACAAGCAGAGTGAGTACAGACAGGAAAAAAATTCCTCCAATTCCTTTGTGGGCAATAAATTTTGTGATGTTTCCCTATTAAAAAGAAGAGGCTCACACAGTGATCGATCGGAATCGCCTGACTCGTTCAGGCGAAATGGCTACATGAGTGGTAAAAATTATCGTACCAAATATGACCCGAGGATTGAGGAGCGCAAACAGATTCCCAGTGTCGACAGAGAAGCGAATAGACGTCGCTCCAGTTCTGCTTCTGCAGTACGTGACGAACTTGTGGAATGTAGGAGTGGTGACCGTGAGGGGGAATTCCCTGAGAGGTCCAGATGGCGCGAAGAGAGAAGAAAATACACAGGGGGTCATCAGGTGGACGATAAGGAAAGGATCCGTGATGGTAGCCGAAGTAGCAGCTGTCGAAGCGGACACGGAAACGGCCATGGAAGCAGAAGGTTTGGCGAATCGAGGGACGCCACCCACATCCAGGAAATGATTACCCCACCCAAGTTTAGCGGCGACAGAGTGTTCAACCAAATTGAACGAAAAAAGGATAAGACCCGTTCGCACCGAGAAGATTATGAGAGGCGCTCTCCTAAACATCATGTACATGGGCAAAGGTGGAAGAGCCCGCATGCACAGAGTGGTATGAGGATAGGGCGAGAAGAAGACCATCGTACGAATGGAAAATACCATGGTGACGATACACGTGTTACAAAAAAAGAAGAAGGTAGTCGAGCTGGTGCCCAAGTGACAGTGACAAAAACCCCCACTTGGGTGAATGTACCCGAATTCGGCAGCATACCAAATTACATAAATGAGATTATAAAAAATATGAACAGTTCATATGAAATAAATGAACCTATCGACATGCTAAACTTGAAGGCAGGCAAATCCTTTCGTACTCCTGAGTTACTCCAGGTAGTTAATCAAATGACGAGCACAAAGAGTTTTTTGAATTTTCTGGACAGGAGAAAAGAAGCCCAAAAGAAATGGAAGATGGTCGCCCGAAATCTTGTACACGAAGAGTTTAAAATTTTGAGCGACTCGATAAGTCGTGATGTGATTGACGCGAAAATAAAATTCCTCACAAGTTCGCTGAGATCTCTGTAGGGGAGTTTCCACTCGGAACTGTCCCCATATGTGTTTGTGCTACTTCACGTTGTTCTATTTTTTTTTTTTTTTTTTTTTTTTTTTTGTATTGTCCTGTCTTTTGTCTCCTTTGTTTTTAGTGTCGCTGTTGCATGTCCGGTCTCGCCACGGTACTTGGGTATGTGTGTCTATGTGCCCACTGCCGAGGGGTAATTCCCGCATGAGTTGCACAGCATGTAGGATTTTTCTGCGCAGCACACTATGCTGATTATTTTAATTTTAATTTTTTTTTTTTGTTTGTTTTAACCGGAGAATAAATGCATTTGGGACGACAGGAAAAAAAAAAAATAATAATAATAAAACAAAAGGCACTGAGGTGTATATGCCCTTCACTGTTCTTTCGCATCCTTTCTTCTTTTTTTTTTTTTTTTGAGGGACATATATCCCTCCAGTGTGTATGACCACTTTTTTAGTGGCAACAATTCAACGGGAGAAAAATTACCAAAGACAATCGAATTTGTATAAAATTTCAATTTCCTCAACTGAATCTTCCTACAGGTGCAGTGCAATGTGCGCCCTGGGGGGGAGGGGGTCCAAAGGTGTGTTTACCTTGTGTTCATGCAAGTCGGCTCATCGTATGTATTGCATTTGCTGTATTTGCCATGGGACACCTTCCCAAAGGAAAGCTGCCCGATGACGGTCAAAACGGTTAAAGCGGTTAAAACTGAGCAAACCCCCCTTGGGCTAACGACGAGTTGACTAGTCTCCTATTGGGCTACACAACTTCTTTGCTTGCCACTCGCGCACATATGCTTAATGAACCCCTTCGCACAAATGAAATGCAGTTCCGTGTGACTCTCATTTGTACAGGGAAAAGGTTTCCAAAATGTTCGACAAATGTGACAGAACGACTAGCTAAATTATTTCACCATTTATTTTATTATTTTTTTTTTTCTCCTTGGGACGCATTTCCAGTTTTAATGAAGAACAAATGGGAAGCAAAATGAGAGGGGAGGAAACTCCGTTCTGTGTTTTGCTCGAGCTGCGCACAATTTTAAAATAATCGCGATGAAATGTCATCTCAATTTGACTTGTCGTGCACAGGCTTGAGGAGTCGAATTTGTTTCCCTAACGGGGGTGGGGTTAATTTCCCCTCGAAGGCACGCGTTTTCCAGGTGAACGGTGAGGCACACAGATAACCTTGTGCAACACACCACATATCAGAGCTCTGTCACACGGAGGAGGATTTGTTTTTTTTTTTTTCAAAGTATCCCCACCTGGAATGTTAATGCACTGCTGCTACGCGCTGAGCTTTACAATGTTCCATTTTGCTTCGTTCGTTTTGCTTGATTTGTTCTTGTCCCCGAGTTTGTATTTGTCGTAAGTGTGTATTTTTTTTTTTTCTCCCTAGAGGAAACAATGGGCTACTTGGCTTGCTGATTTGTTTTTAACAGTGTGCGCCAATATTGATTTACATGGCGTGTTAATGTGCGTTGCCTGGCTTTGCTCCCTTTCGCCAATGAACAATTGTAAAGCCCAGTGACTGTGCCACTTGCTGGCCCCATTTGAATTGTTTGCCCAGGAACATGTGAGTGAGAGGGGTCCTCGCTCGCGCACTTTTTAGTTGCGTCCCATTTGGTTTCCTTCCTTTTTTTCGATTTGTTTGCCGCTTTACACCTTCCGCTTTGTTTGGGCCCCCCCCCCTCCGTGTGTGTCAGCTGAACCATTCGAGCTGTGACGAATTAAAAAAAAAAAAAAAACAAGAACAGCCAATTCATTTGTGTAAACCTATTTTGTGGGGGGCATGAACTCATTTGCTGCGCAAAATATGTTTTGTGTAAGAAAAGCTTAAGTTTGAGCGGCGCTTTGATTGACAATCGTCGTTGAGTTTGCTTTGTCCGAGCACCCAGTTGAGCTTTGGCTGGCGTCCGCCGAGAAGGGCTCCATCCACTGACCGAACTCCTTTTGCCTGCAATGGTAACGAAGAGATCGTCGTGAGGTGTGCGTCGTGAAGTGTGTGCCTCCCGCACACACGTGCAGACAAACGGATGGACGTGAATTAGCCACTTTACGAATTACGAATGTTTTTGTTTCGTTGAAATTATTTGAAAAGGTGCACGCGCACTTATAGAGTGAGGAAGCACATTTGTATAAACAGGTACGCCAAAACACCGCAGCCTCCTTTGTTTGTTTCCAATTTTAGTTTGTAATTTTTTTTTGTTACGACGTTCAGCTGGACCTAGTCTCCGGTTTGAAGGAACCGCCGTGTGCAGTGGACCAAGCACTTGTCTAGCAGTAAATGTTTTCCGAGTTTGTTCAATTTGCTTAGCTTCCCCCAAACCTCCGCCCGGCAGAGAACACGCATCATTAGCCACAAACAAAAAAAAAAAAAAAAAAAAAAGACACGGTCTTGGCGCATTTAAATAATTTGTTTGTCCATACATTTGCACCATTTATTATTATTTTGTTTTTTATTATTATTTTTTTTTGTTTGTCTCATACCTAATGTTTCAGCTTTTTCTCCAGTTTTCTCTTCCATAAAGAGAGATGCATCTAGCTGAAAAGCAGAGGAGTAGGCAAACCGCTGTAAAGGAAAAAAAATTTTCCTTTTTTGTAAAGAGGGCTCTCTGCTATTCGTCGTAGCAATTTTTGTTTCCCTTCATAAGATGGGACGTAGGAAAAACGTAAAACTGGTGAGAACAAGTCGTATAACAATAAGGCAAAAATATGACTAGGTCAGGCGGAACGCCTCTAAATCGGCCAAGCAGAGAAAAAAGCAACAAGAAGAACGGCGTCAAGCGTGCGAGCAAGGGGAGCCGCAGGAACAGCGCTATTAGCGGCGGTGTGAGCAGCATAAAGAACCGCGTTAACGCTGACACAAGCGCCAGCGATGTGGGCACGGATAAACCCGCCAGCAGCAGCCCCAAGAACGCCGCGAACGGAAGCGGACACGATGATTATTACGCCATCTTGGAAGAGTTAGGAAAATCGGAAACGCCGAAATTCAGATCTGTCAAGGATAGCATGGATGAAAATCTCAACCTTGAATTTTTGAGATCCTCCAGTGAAAATTACACCTACAAGATTACTTCCAGAGGTAAGCCCTAAAAATGCATGTCGTTTTGTGTGGAGTACTGGAATGGGGTACATTTGGGCAGAAGACACCTCACTTGTTCGTCTTCCCACCCACGCACATAACACAACTGCGTCCATACGATAAATTTGTCCCTCTTAATTTATTTTATTTATTTATTTTTTTTTTTTTTGCACCCCTGAAGGCCCCGTGTGCTACTCGGCCCTATACCGTGACGACAAGTACGTCTACCGTCATATAATTCTCAGCGACAACGTGAGACAATATGCAGAGAGCAAGGTGCGCAAAACAAATGCCTTCTTAACCGAGCACTGCATTGTGAATGAGTTACAAATTGATATTGGAAAGGGGTGGAAGCATTTCATGATTTACGATGGTAAAATTCGAGAACTGATTTTGCGAAAGGTTTTAACAGCTGAGGACAAATTACGGATGGCCGTCCAAGCACAAAAGTATAATTAGCTACACCCCTTTTTTTTTTTTTTTTTTTTTTTTTTTTTTTTTTTTTGTCTTTGCTAGCTGCGTTGGTCATACGTCGATACGATGGCCTTGATGGATTTATTACTTGGCTAGCTGTGCCACTCCGTCATTTCCCCTCCACCAGTTGCATTCAGCTGTTCTTTAAATTTCCTTCCAATGCCCCCCCTTTTTGTTTGCTTTATTATGTTTTCCCATGTTTATGTAATTTGACGTCCCCCCCAAGTGATCGAAGTTCCGTTTTTTTTTTTTTTTTTTTTTTGTTGTTAACCTTTTAAGGGGCCTTTCACATGTAAGCGATAAACTGTATGCAGACGGATATATAACGAGTGGGGCACATAATGTTTGTCCATTTTTGAAGAAGGCGGCAGGTAGAGAAGAGGAATTTTCCCTTCTCCGCATCTCTCCCTTTTTACATGATTTCGATAATATGGGGGAAATGGTATAAAAAGGTCTAAAACGAGATTCACGTGATGTATTTTTTTTTTTTTTTTTTTTTTTCCATATTGGCCTGAGCAGAGGGGGAGTACACAATTTACCTTTACTTGTGTTCGTGCGCGTATGTGTAACTCTGCCTTTGCAGTATGGGTTGTATCATTTGGGGGGGTTTCAATTTAGCACCTGAACGGGCAGTTCACCTTTTTGCTCATTAGTAGGAGGGGAGCTCACTAAGTGGTAACAAAACGTAGGATGATATATCTGCGCAAAGGCGAGTGTGTAGTTGAGTCCCCCTGGCTGGGTACATACAAAACACATCCTCGTGCGGTTTCCTTTTTGTCATATTCTTTTTAGCGAAAGGATGGTGAACGGACTACTCCTATAAGTCGCACAATTCGCATATTTGCAACGTCCACCACGGGGTGCACAATAGCACCTTTTAAACAAAAAAAAAAAACGACCTTTTTGATCCGATCGGACTGCATCGCACATCTGGGTCAGCCATAAAAAAAAAGAATCCCATGTAGAAAGAACAAAACGTGGTGGGATGGTATACGGCTTGAAAAGGCGCCAAAGAAGAGACAGTCAATTTGTCACCCGATCAGTTACATATATATATTCCATTTGTGTGGTACTCCACCGCTCCCTCTGAGAAACATCTTATTTGAATTTTTTTTTTTTTTGTGCACAGATATATGGGGGGCCGAAGAAGGAGCGAATCCGGCGGATGATGCCTCCTGTGAGTGATTATACCAGAGCTGCTCCCCCCACCAGAATGAGTCGCCTCTCGCACATCTGCGCGGTTAGCGCGATTAGTGAGTTGTTCCGCCCGCTGGCTGCGAACGGTGAGAGGAAAAACGTGTTGTACCTTTTAAACCTAACCAAGTTGCATGTGTACGAGCAGCTACTCTTAGAGGAGTGCCTCTATCGAATCAGTAGCCCCCTGAGCCAGGGCAAAAACAACGTCGGTTTTGTACTCATCAATGATACATATTCTAATGCGAAGGAGGGAGAAAGAGGAGGAGGACATGGATTCACCTCACCAGAAAACAAGTGTGTCGTTTTCGGCATCAGTGGGAAAGTACCTCATTTTATAAAGGATGTGAATTATATTCGTAAAAATAATATTTCACTCATTAGAAGATACACAGGAGGGGGCACAGTGTATATTAAGAACAACTGCCTTATGTTCAGCTTAATCCTGCCTTTACATTTTGCAGAGGACAGACAATTGTATCCCTCCAATGTGACGGAATGGGTGTTCAACTCGTTTTATCATCGCGTTTTTAACAACTCTCCATCTGGGGAGGAGGAGGACGACAAAAAAAAAAAAAATTCCAACACCTTTTGCCATCACGAAAATGATTATGTACATCAAATCTACGACCATGTGAATGATGAGATGAAGATGAAAAAATTTGGAGGCAATGCGCAAGCCTTTTCTAAGAATTATTTTGTCCACCATACCTCCTTCCTGTGGTCATGTGATTATGCTGAAATGGAAAGAGTACTTGTTAACCCTTCCAAGCAGCCCCAATACAGAAATAAAAGAAATCACAAGGATTTTTTAACCTCCCTGGAGGAATGCCTACCTGGTGGTGGACACACCCCAATGGGGTTCATTGGAAAATTCGTCTCAAACATACGACAGTTAATTAAGCAACAGAACGATAAAAATAATGGCTCCTATTGGCACTTTAATCAGATCGACTTGGGTATCTCTAGCGAGTCTGTAATCGCACCCGGGTCCCACATCTTTGACGAAGTGCTCTCGGTGGATATAGACATTTGGAAAAATCTTTTTCGTTCCTTTTGCAGCAGCGAGGAGACAAGGAATCTTCGGTCGACGCGTTTGTTGGATCCCCTCGGGGGGGTGATATCCGACGATGCCTTTTGCGGGCCCTCCTTCATTTTGCGATGAGCTGAGAGGGGAAAACTCCACCCGAAGTGGCACTAGGAAGTGGCAGCGTCCCCATCGAGGGATCACATTCCCAGTGCAGTGAAGCGGAGAAATTGTTTTCTTTTCACAAGTGAAGTTAAAAATCGAGACATGATTTGCATCCCTTTCTGCTCATCATATTAAAGTAGGCTAGCACACATACGTATGGTGTACGTATTTGGGGTGTCTTCCGAAGGGTCCACAACTTCCCTCTTGTAGACCGCACAAGTGAATGACTCCCCAGCAGGGTGGACACACACAGAGACGCTCCTGAAGCGAGATGAAAACCAGCTAGGGTTTCCACCGGATGTTGGTCAAATTTCCGTGCAGGTATTTTTGCAAGCTGAGAGGATTGGACCACTCAGAATTTAAGTAAGAGTCATCATCGTCTTCTTCGAATTCATTTTCTTCTTTTTTTTTCTTGTGATAATAAGCTAGCATAGCTTTGTACGTTGCTTCATCAATTTTTCTTTCCCGTTCTGGGGGCCCCATTTTTGTCGCATGCAGCTTCACAATTATTTTCGTTTTTTCATTCTTCCCTATATAACTCCTTAAAGGGGAATCCCCTGATAATTCTTTGCCTGCCCACCAGATGGACGTTTCGTTTGTAATGAAGTCCTGTGGGGGGGTGGGTGAAGCGATGGGCAGGACATACGTATTATCCACCTTAGTTTGGTTTACGAGTCTAAGTGGAGGGACAGTAATATCCCCCTTTTCACGCGATGTTCACTTGTACATTTTGCGTGACCGGCACGTGGCCCCTTGTCTCATTTTTTTACATCGTTGAAGGCGTTTTCATTTTCCAGGAGCAGCCTCGTGGGGTCGTAGGGGGGCAAACCCTCCATGGAAGGGTAGCACGCGTTCAAGGCGTCCACTATCAGTTTTAGCAGTTCGTTCAGTTTGTCCTGGGTTATGGGTATGCTCTTCTCCTTCTTCGGTAAAGCGGTAAAGAGGCGATTATGAGTGAGGCGGTAAAGCGGCGACGGGGCAATGGCAATTGGATGCATTATGAAATCAGTTCGCTGCGCGCTTCGCTACGTATATACCCCTTGCACATCCCCCTCGCGTACCTGGTCCGCGGCCAGTGCCCGCTGCACCTGGTTGATGACATCCCGCAGCTTAAGTTCCCCCTCACGAGGTGGCGGAATTCCTGTCCTGAAATTATTCTCATCAGGGTTTGTCACTTCCTTTGGGTTGTACATATTAGGGTTGGACAGCCGCAGTTCCTTTACACAGAAAAAGGGGCAGGAGAAGTGTATACAGGAGAGAGGAAAAGTTTAACGTGGGGGTAGTTTTGCAAAAGAGTTTTTTTATTTAATCAGGTCGCTTCTTTCTCACGACATTCACTCCTTCCATCCGGTTCGCTTCTTCCCCCCTTTCCGCTTCAACTCACCTCGTCGGTAATTCCACGAATGGCCTCCGGCCGTAGGGGCCCATGGTTGGCCAACTGGATCGACGCGTCAATCAGCCTCAGCATTTTGCATCTGAGATTGTGCAGCTTCACCAGGTCCTCCTTCAAGTGGGTGACCAAAACATCCACCGTCGTTTCGAACATGAATTGGTGTTTCTCCTCCTCGGTTTTGGTGTGTATCAGGACCATAGTGTTTAAAGGGGGGGACATAAAAAAAAAAGTTGAGGCAAAGATAAGAGAGATAGACGAGGGAATTTGAATTGAAAAAGCGGAGACCCTACACACATGTAAAAATGGTAAAGGGATAAAAACCCACAAGTGAGGAAAAACACCACCTCTCTATAATGAATAAACATTGTACGCAATTTTATACAGAGGGGTAGGATGACCATTAGACAGATGTTCTTCTACATTTTTTATCTTTTTAAGAACCTAAATGAGGCACACTTTCTTTTTTCGTGTGATGGGATTCATTTCTCTCCTCCAGCTGCTAACACCCACATGGCTAGCGATACCACGGGAGTTCTTTTTAATTATGTCGGGCCCCCTCAGAGATTCACACCTTGCCTTAGACGCTTCAGCGCGTTGTCCAGTTTGCTTCAACAGATATATCCATTTTTTTTTTTTTTTTTTCTTCAGCGGCAAAATGGATGAAAAGGGAGGGTAGAAGACTAGATGTTCATTTTTTCGCAGATCACGGAGAATGCACACAGGGGGTGTGTGTAGCGGTGGGTTCTACAAGCGCGGAAAATACGTGCTGTACTTCGCCATCCGCGTGAACGTGGCCAGGGAGGAATAAACCCACGCAGTGACCGCACTAACTACGCGATGTGCCCCCTCGTTGAAGAAGCCTGAGGATTGGTCAAATGATACCAAGGAACTGTGCCAAAGGTTTTTTTTTTTTTCTTTTTTCCTGAAATGGGCCAATATATCAGCTTCTCCCCATGACGATGGAGAGGCGATTCTGCAAATGTACCCGCGGGAAACGGGAAATAATTCAAAAATGGGGTGACACAATAGAGTGGTCTCTCATGACGTAGCAGCGCTATTGGGAAGGTGGGACTCCTTCAATGCGCTTGTGACACAGTGGGCGTGACTTATCGCGCCTCTGCCAAAATACCCATTTTAAAGGGTTTCCGGGGGGAGGGGGTTGTTTAAAGTGGAAAAATCCCCATACACGTGGCAAAAAAAATAATAAAAAGAATAAAATAAAAAATAAAACATTAAAGAAGGGGTCATCCTGGCCACCCTGTCCGCAGCTACGTCTAGTGATGACTTAGCCGCACTTTCCGCACCCACTTCTAGCAATGACTTAGCCGCACTTTGCGCACCCACTTCTAGCAATGACTTAGCCGCACTTTCCGCCGCCGCACCCGCCCTTGGCAGCAAAGGAAAGCCCGGAGGAGCGCGTGACGGTGAGGCTCATGAACGACTCCGCATCTGTGGGGTGTATCCCGATGCAATTATCAAAATCGCTCTTCTTAGCCTTCAGCCTCAGAGCGAGAGCCATCCCCTGCGTAATTTCCCCTGCATTAGGACCCACGTAATGAAAGCCAACAACCCGATTGTCTTCATTCTTTAAGCACACCAGTTTGGACAAACAGGTGCTACTCACATCTGTGTCATATGGATCCTTCTGCGCTCGAACATGTTTCTCCCTATGCACAGCAGATATTTCCAAGTTATTAAATTCTTGAAGAAACACTTCCACATTTGATGTGCCAAATATCTCGTATGCCTTTTCTTCTGAATACCCACAAGCTCCATATTCAATGGGTGTGTAAATGGAAGTAGGTATGAATGTGTAATCCATGATTTCTTGCGACTGGTTAAATAATCTCCTGGCTAGAATTTCTCCCGCCTTTATAGCTACAGGAGCTAATTCAGGAACGTCTACAGCGACATCTCCAACAGCAAAGATGTTTGAAATATTGGTACAGCTAACTTCATTGGTAATAATTTTGTTCATATTTTTATTAACTTGAATTTTCACCTGGTCCAGATTTAACATGTCTATATCTCCTTTCCTTCCTGTCGCGTAGAGAACAGTATCGAACAAGTCAGTGGTGCCATCACTGAAGAGAACATTTATTTTTTCCTGCTCCACTTTACACAATTTCTTTGGTAGAATTCCATTTTTAAAAAGAACCCCTTGCTCCTCCATGTAATTCTTCACCTTAAGCGCGCACTGCGAATCAAACCCGCGTAAAACAATGGACCTCACCGCAACGGTAACGTCATAACCCAACGAGTTCAAGAACCCTGCACACTCCAAAGCAACATAAGATGCTCCCACGACAAGTGTTTTTCCTGGTTCCTTCTTCATTGAAAAAATATCATCTGACGTTATGCTACACTCCTTTGCACCTTCTACATCGTTTGGGATATGTGGTCTGCACCCAGTAGCGATGAGGATATACTTGGCCGTGACGGACTCTTCCTTAGACATATCTCCTTTTAAATAATACGAAACTGTATGTTTATCCTTCAGGGTCGCTAACCCATTGATGTACTTCACCTTGGATGATCTCAGTCCAGTCATGTAACTAAAATTAAGAGAACGTATGTGTGATTGAACCGTGGTAACTAGCTTCCCCCAACTGTGCTTTAAATCGTTATAAGACCAACCATATGAAACAGAGTCCAGCTTGAAAAGGCTACCCATATTACCTGCATAGTGCATCAGCTTCTTTGGAACGCAGCCTACATTCACACATGTGCCTCCTATTCCCCACTTGGTTCCTTTACTACTTGGCTTCACATAATCAAACAGGAGTACCTTCGCTCCGTGTGCCGCTGCTTCCTTCGCGGACGCCATTCCGCCGGGGCCTCCCCCAATCACCACATAGTCATAGTCATAATCGCACTCCGATTTAGGTTTGTAATGCTTACTTTCCTTGGAGTGCGCTTCTTGCCCCTCCGCCTGTACATGTCCGTCATTTTTTTTCTCGCTGTTTGCACTACTCATGGTTCTTTTAAAAAAAATTTTGGTCAAGTTGCTCCTCTGGGGGGACTCAATATGCCAATTGGGGGAGGTTGCTGGATGCCTCAATGGTGGGATGGTCCTCCAGGGGGAGGTGATACTTTCTCGGGGGAGTCCACTGCTATGCACAAAAAGTCGCACCTCTCTGACGAAGAGATGCTGCGATGCTTCTAGCTTGATGGACGACACAGCCAGGATGCCAAGCGCCTTGCTCATGCTGCTCTCTCGGTTGGAGGCGGGTCGGTCAAGCCAGCGCGCCTGATTGGGAGCATTACCGTGTAGGTACTCTACAGGGATAGATGCGATATGGGGCGTATGCTACGGGGGGCGATAAAATTCTCCACACTGGCACTGCCTAACCGCATCACGCCTAGATGCTACACTTTGCTCTCTTCAGGGGATCCACGCGGTGGCCTTCTATTTGGAGCTCATTCATCACAGGGTTGCTGTGACACCTCTCTCGAAGTCATTTTGCAAAAAAAAAAAAAAAAAAAAAAAAAAAAAAAAAGCGGCCATGCCTACTGCCAGGTGCATATTCCAATCGAGCGTTCCATTTTTTTTTTTGTACTGCAAACAGCGGATTATTTTTTTTCAGTACGATAGGCGCTTCGCCATTAACCCTGCGCCCACAAAAAAAAAAAAAAAAAAAAAA